CCCCTGTCTCTATTTCCCCAGTTCTGGGATTATAGGCAGGCTACCATGCACACCTGGCATTTATATGGGTGCTATGGATCTGAACTGTCTTCTAGCTTGTGTGTCAAGTGCTTTACCCATTGAGCAATCCCTCTAGCCCCATACCTTTTGTTTTGTTGTGTTTTGTTTTAAGACATGATCTCTCACTGACCTGGAATCTATCAGTAGGCTAGACTAGCTGATCTTTAATGGCCGAAATCATATTAGATTTTGTTTCAAGCCAATAGTCTAGAGGTCTAAGATTGATTATCTGGCTAGAAATCAGGGAGAGTTAAAATAGGTGCCTTTACTTTTACTTTCTGTCCTACTTCCTTTGGAACAGTCACAGTGTTTCTCTTCATGGTCTCAAGATGGTTGGGCTACTGTGGCTCCAAACATTACATCCTCACCCAAGCACATCCAGAGGGGAATGAAAAAAAGAGAAGAAACAGGCTCTTTATGAGCTAGGCTCAACCCCAAAAGTTTTGTCCAAGTCAGAGAAAAAGGAAAAGAAACTCTTAGACTCAGCTCAATCTAGCTTTTGCTTCTCTTTATTCCTACAGTGACCAAGAGAAGTAGCAAAAAGGTATTGATACAGGACCAGGATGCTAGTAAGTGAAGATGGTTCTCTATTGCTTCCCTTACCCCTCACAGTGGCTGCCCCCATGGGTGAGGTATCTCCCATGTGAATGGAGCGAGTATTTTTAGTCCAAACCATATCACAATACAGCCACCTCAGTGCCAGGACAGTTTAAAATGCTGGTGAGACAGTAAGTCAGCTACTTGGCTGCCCCAGGTACTAAGATCACATGACTACAATGAATGCCTTGACTTTCTCCCTCAGTGTGCACTGGGGTACTGTCCACCACTGTGTGGAGGCCAGACATTCACCGTTTATGACTGGTTACTCTTTAGTAACATCCAGTCCAGAGGGGTAGGGGCAGTAAGTCCTTTGGACATAGGAACAAGTCATACCTGATACACAGATGATTGTGATACTGCCAGTGACCTGGAGTAGCAAGAGCACAAGGCTTGGGAAGAGAGGGGCAGAGGAGAGATGGGGGAGGGAGCAGAAGACATCGGGCCCCATGAGGCAAGGCACAAGCTTCTTGGAGGGAATGGGGTGCAGGAAATGTTGAGGAGTTGTAGCTGGCTAAGAAAGGCTTCCAAAAGTGCGGCGCCTGGGTCCGGCGCAGAGCTGATATCCAGGCAGGACCTGGGGCCTTGTTGGTTGTACAGGCTCCTTATGCCCATATCATCTCAGATGTTAACCCATTCACCTATTATCCTGCTGAAAAGAAGATGGGGAGAGATTCCCAAGCAGAGGTGGGGATTGTGGAGGACATGCCCACAGGCAATCTAAGAAGGGAGGGACAGGAAGTCCACAGAGGTGGAAGAGAGAACAGCGACCATGAATGGTTTTCTGTAGCAACAAAAGAGGTTCCACCTAAGAAAGTTGTACAAAGACAAGTGGCCCCATCCTACCAGTGTGATGATCCACCTGCAAAATTAAATTCAGCTCTCCACCTTCCTTGAAACTTCCGGGCCATGAGAACAAAGTAGAAGAACAAACAAGTATGTAGACTAAAGCACGAGGTAGGGGGAGAGGGGCACAGAGATGCAAGTAAGCTAGCTTGGCCTCCATGGAGGTCCCAGGAGCAGGAAGAAGAATATCAAGCTGGGACACTGGTACAAGTTTTTGGTCTGCATCCTACTGTTAATAATTTGTCCCAGTAGATCAGGAATTTCAATATCTGAATGCTGGGACCACTTCTGAGAAACTGCCTTCTTACAACCAAAGCAGTCCCCGTTAGACCTGTGGCATTTGGAACACGTTCTGTTCTCACTGTGGCCAGGTATAACACAGGTACAAGAAATCATCTCATCTCACTATTTTGGGTGAAGAATTTTATGTTTTTCTCTTTTTTTAAGAGAGGGTTTCTCTGTAACTCCAGCTGGCCTGAAACTCCCTATAGACCAGGTTGGCCTTTGGCCTTGATGTCATAGAGATCTGCCTGCCTCTGCCTCCAGAGTGTTGTGTACCATTGCACCCAGCTAAGAAGTTGATTTTAAAAAGTAAACTCAAAGTCAGCCTGAGAATCTAATACCTCCTAGGGGTTGGGTACATGAGAGGATGGGGGGCCGTTGGCTAAACCAATGAATAGGCAGAAATACATTTCTTTTTTAAAAAAAGATTCAAAGAAAAGGGGAAGAGGGAAGGGATCCAAAAGGAAAAGGAAGAGAATAGCTAGGTCAGAAAGGTGACTCAGCAAGTAAAGACTCTTGCTGCCAACCAAGTCTGAAGACCTGAGTTCACTCCATGGGTCCCACGTGGTGGAAAGAGAGAACCAACTCTCAAAATTGTCCTCTGACTTCCATGTGTTCCATGGCGCGCGCGCGCGCGCGCACACACACACACACACACACACACGAACTAAAACTAACTTGATAAAACTGACAAGCTCTGGCAAGGCTGATAGAGGATCCAGATAGTACTTAAATCAATCATTATGTCTATGGATCTGTTATATGCTCTCCATTTTGGTAGAAATACCTACCTTTTAATATTTTGTTTATTATTTTATGTGTATGAGTGTATTGCCTGGATGTGTGTAAGTGCACCTGTATCGTGCAATACCCATGGAGGTCAAAGGAAGGCATTCGATCTCCTGGAACTGGAGTTATGGACAGTTGTTAGCTACCATGTGGGTGCTGGGAATTGAACCTGGGTCCTCTGCAAGAGCAGCCAGTGTTCTTAACCACTGGGCCATCTCTCCAGTCCCAGAAATACCTATTTTAAAACAAACAAACAAACAAACAAAAAACCCTGAGTGTCAGGTTTCAGTTTAAAGAGATCTAGTCTTTCTGCAAAGGTATTTGAAATAAGGTACCAAAAGACCTAAAAATGTTCATTTTAAATCCAATAAATCCATGCCAAGACAGACATGCAGATGGAGATTTCTATACATATCTCTTTTCTGCTGCTTTGCAAAGATACAGCTCATTCATCTCACCTTGGGGAGAGGAAGTGTGCTGAATTAACATCCCAAATCAGCAAATGAGCTATTTTAGTGCTGGTCTTCCTTGAATATGTTGTACCTGCTCTGCTACAGTGGGCACATATCAGGGACACAGCTGCGCTTTCCTCAGTGACTTTTGATGAATGAGATTGACAAGCCCTTGTTAAGAGATTCAGTGACCCTAAAAAGCATTGAAGTTAGAGGGCATGTCTCCTTGCTACTTTCTTCCTGGCAGTCAGTTCCTCTGTCTCTTTTTGGCTTTTCCTCTATTGTTGGCTGCTGAGTTCTCACTGGAAATTATGCCTTCCTCTATATAATCGAATCTTTTTTAAAGTGAAACCTGTGTTAACCTAGTTTGTATACAGTATGTGGAAAGTAAATCATGTCTCCCGCCACCTGAGGATTGTCTATTCCAGGGTCCCAACTCGCCATATCCCAATAGGAATCACGGCCTGTGCAAGCATGCAGGTCCATCCCTCAGAAAATACCCCAGGAATTCAAAGCCACCTGGCGTCAACAGGTGAGGTTTGCTTTGATGCACGTTAGCAGCTGCCTCAGGCCAGAATGGCTCAGGGATTTTCTGTGATGGTTGATGGGTCCCTGTGTCATACTGGGTACTAAATATTCTGAATAACATGCGGCCTTGGAGTTTTGAACTTGATCACTTTGGTGGGTGGAGGGTTAGAGGATTTATTTTCCCTGACCCATCTGTCTTTGAGTTGGCTAAGATTTCTGATAAGCAGTCTTTGAATGCCTTTGAAGAGTGGAGCCCTACCTGGACTAAGGTCACAGGGAGAAAAGGACCCTTCCATATAGGACACCATCTTCAACTTCCACAAGCAAAACAAAATAATGCTATGTAGTAGAGACAGACTGGCCACACAGCCTTGTTACTCATCCCTTTGGACTAAATATTTAATAGTTCATGTCATGCTCAAGATAAATTTCTATAAATTTACTGCCCCCATTTTTAAAAGATCTATTTATTTTCATTTTATGTGTGTGAGTGTTTGCTTGCATGTATGTATGTGCACCAGGAATGTGCCTGGTATCTGCAGAGGCCAGAAGAGGGCATTGGATCCCCTGGAAGCGAACTTATGCATGGTTGCTAGCCACCACATGGGTGCTGGGAACCGAACCCAGGTCCTTTGCAAGATCAGCCAGTGCTCTTAGCCCTAAGCCAACTCTCCGGACCCTACTATACCTATTTTTAATCAGAACAATTACTTTGCTCAGGTATTTTTATTTATCATGCACTTTTACCCCTGTAGCTCTAGGAATCAGACCCAAGGCCTCTCACAGGCTAGGCAAGTGTTCCCCTTCTAGCTATTGTTTTCATTTTTGTTTTTTGTTTAAAATAGTGTGTGTGTATTTTTTTTCATTGTTTCTTCCATTTGAAGAGAAGACTTGCCCATATGTATACTGCACTTCAAAGTTAAAGGGCTAGGGAGATTCTCAGTTGGTAAAATGCTTGTTGCATAAGCATGAGGATCTGAATCCAGATCCCCAGCACTCATGTAAAAGGTAAAAATCTAGGCATGCCTGTAATCCCCAGCAATGGGGAGGCATAGACAGCAAATTCCTGGGGCTTGTTAGCCAGCCAGTCTACACAATTTGTACTTCCAGGTTCAGTGAGAGACCATGTCTTAACAAATACCTTGAGATTGCAATAGAAAACGACATGGGCATCAAACTCTGACCTCCATATTGCATGCACATATGAGTGTATACACACACACACACACACACACACACGCCTCCAAATATCTTGGAAATGTTGGTGTTCAAGCTCTGAAACATGAAATGGGACAGCAGGCACTAAAGGAAAGATACAGCATGAGTTACTTAGTAACATACTTAGATGACTTGACCTCAAACAACAAAACAGCCACTCCAGAATGAAAATACTGGTATATTTGTATAATGCAAAGAGAAGTACATATAGAAATCCTTAAAACACAAGGTACATTAATAAAAATGTAGCCGTTTAAGCAAAAAATATTATACAGTACTTGCAATGTAGTCCTTCAGTGTCAAATGAGAAATGCCTAACAAAAAGATATTTAAAATTATAGTTCTTATTAATAATTTGAAACAATCATCAGTAGCACAGCACAACCTAACCTAGCAAACACCGTAAGGAAATGTTTTGTCTCCTAGGAGAGGTACCATTATATCCCCTGGCTTTATACCATGGACAAAAGACAGTCTTCAAAGCGGAAATTAATTTCATAAGACAGAGTAAAACTGGGCTTCTCAAAGCACAAGCCATTTCCATAAAAGTATTTTAACTGTTTACTGGCACAAAGTGCCCAAACAAACATGATGGAGTTCTCTGCCTCCAGAGCCCGCCCCAGCTCAAACCACAATCAACACAAACACATGCAATACTGTTTTTTGTTTTTCTCCACAATGTTACTATCCAAAACACTTTTTAACTCTTTAAAAGTCACAGTTTTACAGAAAGGTTTCCATTCAAGATTGATATACAGAGCAGCTGTTGCTGAGGTGTTTTTTTTTTGTTTGTTTGTTTAAACGGGAATTCAAACCTTGCTTGTTACCATTTCAAAAGCGACTGCCTTCCTACTGACTCGTTTCCAGTCTTTAAGTTCCACTTCACTGCTGGAAAAAGCTCTCCACACTTTCAAAGATCAGGCACAGCATACCTGACCCTGTGGCCTGCAATTCACAAGGGACTTGAGACAGATTTGTCCTCTCTTCCATCTCCAATCAAAGACCCCCTAGTTTTCTCTCCTTCACTGCCATGCAAATATAATGCCACTTGAGGTTGTCAAAAATAGCTTCTGTAGAAAACTGGCCATGGTCTTTAGGAAACTTTGCATGAATAAAATCAGTGTAGCCTTGTACTTAAAAAGGAGAGAGGGAAGGAGAGAGGGAGGGAGAGAGGGAGGGAGGGAGAGGGGGTAGAGAAATCACACGTGGAAGAAAAGACAGTACCAGTGCAGAAAGACTGCAGGGCCTACTTCCTGGAAGGAAGGAAGCATCCTCAGGACGGATCTGGAAACCGGAATCCCCGACCCGGCCCCCGGAACAAGAACCTGTACAATCCAAGTGTGTATCCACTTTGAGAGTCTTGTGAAGGCAGTATAGAAAAATCAGAAACCAGACAGGCGTATAAGCACAGTCACCATCCAAGCCAGAGAGTAAGGCTGGACTGTTGGGTGCCTGGCTGGCAGGTCACCATCCAAACTAGAGGGTAAGGCCAGATTGTCGGGAGCTTAGGTAACAGGTCACCATCCAAACCAGAGGGTAAGGCCAGATTGTTGAGAGCCCAGGTGGCAGGGTGCACCTCACAGACCAATGCCTTTCAGGTCGCAGGGGAGGGTGGCCTGTGTGGTCTGGGGGCTCTGGCAGCAGGGGAACTGGGCCCTGAAGCAGTCTCTTAGCTCTCTGTTGAAGAGGAAGCACACTACAGGATTGATGCCCGCCTGCGCGAAGGTCAGCCACACGGAGGCCGTCAGGTAGGCCTGAGGGACCACGCCGGGCCGCACCAGGACCCTCAGGTAACTGGCCACGACGTAGGGTCCCCAGAGGAGCAGGAAGAGCAGCGTGACAGCATAGAACATCTTGCACAACCTCTTCTCTGTCTTGAACTCCTCCAGCACGAGGAGCCGACGGGCGCCACGGCCTGGACCCGCGGGCCGGATGCCCACGAGCGCGGGAGGAGTGGGCCCACGGCCAAATCCCGCTGTCCAGTTGGCAGCCGCCTGGCCCGTGGCCCCCGGGCCGTGAAAGGTCCAGTCGTGACTGACGGCGGGCACCAGGCGCGCTGGCCGCATCTTGCGACGGTCGTGGATGAAGAAGAGCAGGCGGAGGTAGACCAGGTGCGTGGCACCCACCACCACGGCCAGCAACAGCAGGAAGCCGAGCGCGCCGGGGGCGCCGTCGGGCCGCTGCTCCAGGGCGCACGGTGCGTCCTCGTCGTCGCCGCCGCCGCCACCGTCCAGCACCGGCGGGAAGGCCGCGGCCAGTGCCAGCGCCCAGGCGGCGCACACCAGCATGGCGGCGCACGGCCAGCCGGCCAGGCGCTCGGCGTAGAAGCGGTGGTGCGCGATGGCCAGGTAGCGGGTGACGCCCACGCCGAGCAGCAGGAAGGCGGCGTGGAAGCAGAAGAGCGCGGCCAGGAAAGCGAGCAGCTTGCAGCCCAGCGCGCCCGGCGGGGTCCCCGCTGCAGCCGCCGCGCGCCGAGCTGCCAACATGACTGCCGGGAGGCAGGCGAGCGCGCGTAGCCCGTCGGCCAGGCACAGGTCGAGCAGCAGGTAGTACGGGGCGCGGTGCAGGCTGCGCTCCCGCACGATGAGCAGCGCGAACAGCACGTTGCCCGCCAGACTCACGCACAGCAGCAGGCTGAGCGTGGCCAGCTTGAGGCCCAACGCGGCCGCCTCAGCCCCTGCCGCATCCCCGCCGCCGCTGCCTGGCTCGCTCGCGTTCGCCATCGCGGTGCCGCTCCTCTCCGCAGGCCGTGCGCTCCGCCGGGCCCTCGCCGCTCGCCGTAGGCCACCCCGGCCTTGCGCTGCGTCCCGCGCTCCCCTACGCGAGCTTACCGGTGTCCTCCCGGGGCGCTCAGCCTGCGGCCGGCCGGCCCTGCCTCGGGGGCTCCAACAGCCCGGGCGCCGCCGCCATCTCAGCCATGGTGCGCGCGAGAGGCGACGGCCACTCCCTGCGCCCTGGGTGCGGCGGTCTTCACTGCGGACAGGCCCGCGCCGCCGCCCGCAGCCCCCCGCATGCTCCGCGTCCTCCTGGTCCTCCTCCTCGTCCTCCTCCTCCGCCGCCGCAGCCGCGCCTCCCGGCTCAGCCCCCCGCCGG